AGCAACCTCAAACTCTTGGGCTTAAGTGATTCTCTTGCCTCAGCCTCCCAAGTAGCTGGGACTACAGGCGCCCACCACAACACCCGGCTATTTTTCGTTGTAGTTGTCGTTGTTTGGCAGGCCCAGGCCAGGTTCAAACCAGCCAGCCCTGGTATATGTGGCGGGTGCCATAACCACTGAGCTATGGGCGGTGAGCCAGTATTGGCCTTTTCTGAAGCCCTTTCTCCTTTCCCAATTAGTATTGGCCTCTTCTCTGCTGTAAAAGTGAAAACCAAGTGCACTTACTATGAAGGTGGTGCCAATGGCCTGTGCGTCTGCGGCTAAGTGCGATTTGCTGGTCCATGTAGTCCTTTCCATTTTCTCTCTGGAGTGTGTACGGTCACCACCAGAAAAATGGAAATCATTCATGGATGTAGTTAATTTGTCCATATTTTCTACAATGTCTCTGTTAATGGCTGTCTAGGAGTCCATATTTGCTCAACCAGACCACTTTTTGCTTTTTTTTGAGAAAGAGTCTTGCTCTGCCACCTAGGCTAGAGTGTCGTAGCCTCATCACAATTCACTGCAGCCTCAAACTCTAGGCCTCAAGTGATCCTCCTGCCTCAGCCCCCCAAGGAGCTGTGATTACAGGCATGAGCTACTGCTTCCACCTGATGACTACTTTAAAATCCTTATCAGGGCTCGGTACCTGTGGCTCAAGTGGCTAAGGCGCCAGCCATGTACACCCAAGGTGGTGGGTTCAAATCTGGCGTGGGCCCGCCAAACAACAATGATGGCTGCAACCAAAAAATAGCCAGGCGTTATGGTGGGCGCCTGTGGTTCCAGCTACTTGGGAGGCTGAGGCAGGAGACTTGCTTGAGCCCAGGAGTTGGAGGTTGGAGGTTGCTGTGAGCTGTGATGCTATGGCACTCTACCCAGGAGGACAGCTTGAGGCTCTGTCTCAAAAAAAAAAATCCTCATCAGATAATTGTAACATCTGTGGCATCTTGGTGTTGGCATCTGTGGATGGTCATTTCTTTTTCAAGTTGAGATTTTCCTGTTTGTTTTTATGCCAAGTGATTTGGGGCTGCATTGTAGATACTTCACATTGTTGAGACTCTGGTTCTTGCTGAAGTCTGTCTCAGCAGGCACAGATTTAGAACGCACATCCAGGCCCACCCTAGGGTCTGTGCTTCCCATGTCAGTTGAACTTTCTCATCAGCCCATCTGCCAGTCTGATATCTGGGTTGTGTCCACACTGGCGCTTGGCTTTCACTCTAGGTCCCCTTGGGGGGAAGGGATGCAGTGCCTGGACTCCTCCTGCAGATGTAGAGACCTCCTTGCCCACCTTTCTCCTGTCAACAGTTCCTGCCACATTCCTCAGCTGGAAGGGGTAGCTGCCTCTTCCCACCATGTCTGCAGCTGCCATTCCACTGGGAGGCATAGATGCCACCTCTTTGCTGGTGTTTGTTCCATGCAAGGGGGGCATTCCATGTTGTTTGCCTCAGAAATACACATACGAACAAGCCATGTACATGGATAGTGCACGGTGCCTCTCTAGACCCAACAAAGCAGATAGGACCCAGAGAGGTCTGTCCAGCAGGGCCGTCTTCTTTCCAGTCCCTGAGCTAGAAAGAGGGGCTGCTTCTGGCTATTTTGGGTTTGTGCCTGTTGGTGTCTTGGTGTTTGAGGGTTATGGGGCTCCTGCTACCTGGGCCAGGTTCTGCTGATGTAACATGCTAACCCAGGCTCCACCCAAGGTCCCACCTCATTCTATACCTTCAGTGTCCTGGAGTCTTCTGTTGGCTGCTTAGTGTAGGTATTTTTGTTGTGATTGGTAGGGAGATGTGGGATGTGCTCTCTCTGTTTTGCTCAGGAACTAAGGTGCAGCGTTCACCTACCTTCTGTTCTTCCTCTTACTCTATTTGTTGAAGAACCCATGCCATTGACATGCAGAGTGTCTGAGCCTACTGACTACACCTGTGGTCAGTCTGTTGCACTCTCCCACTCTTGTATCCATCAAGCTGGGCTCAGAGGCTCAGAGCGGGTATCCCATCAGGAGTGATGTCTTTTCTCTCAGGAGGCTCACAGGAATGGTTTTTATTCTTTTCTGATGATAATGTTGTTGCTGCTCAGTACCTTGATTCAAGAGGGTGATTTGCTCATTTTGTCATGTAGTTTGTTAGGAATAATTTTTATAAATATACTCTTCACTGCATTCGCTATGTGGTAATAGCATTCAAACAAGAAAAGCAGGATAAATGCTTGAATTTTTTCCTCCTTTCCCAACTTTCAAATCTGGGAAATTTCAAATTTGAATTGATCCCTAACTTATTATTGATTCCTTGTCATCTTTAGGAGAATAGTGTTTCAATACCATCACCAAACAATTCACATAGGTGTGGTGGTTCAGTCTGTCTCAGACTGTGTCAGTGCTCAGTGGCTCTGTGTTCAGATGTTTGCTGGTCTCCTGTGTCCTTCTGACATGGCCCCAGGGGTGGCTGACAGCCTCTCTGCTGTCTAGGATCAGGATGCTCCACACCCATCTGTGCATTTCCAAGTCTCCAGCAAGCCCTGGTTCTTTTTCATGGAAGGTGTTTTAAGACCTATAGTTAGGTGCTCACTGCCTTCTCAGGGGACAGAGCTGGGAAGCACGTCCATGTGCATGGCTTGTTCGTTTGTGTATTTCTGAGGCAAACAGCATGGTGCTATTTCTAATTCTGATCTGGACTGCAAGGATTCCACCTGACGTCCCTCACACCTACATCATTTTGTCCACAATGGGATCCTAGTTCTTTTTTTTTTTTTTTGAGACGGAGCCTCAAGCTATCCTCCTGGGTAGAGTGCCATGGCATCACGCTCACAGCAACCTCCAACTCCTAGGCTCAAGTGAGTCTCCTGCCTCAGCCTCCCAAGTAGCTGGGACCACAGGCGTCCGCCACAATGCCTGGCCATTTCTTGGTTGCAGCCATCACTGTTGCTTGGCGGGCCCGGGCTGGGGATATGAACCTGCCACCTTAGGTGTATGTGGCCGGCGCCTTAGCCACCCGAGCCACAGGCGCCGAGCCAGGATCCTAGTTCTTAAGGACACGGTTGGTGCAATTAGAAGGCTGCGGAACTGTGTATTTGCTGCTTTTCTCTTGTCCAGGTCTAAATATGGAGCTAGAAGACATCGCAAAGCTGAAGAGTGAGTGTCACCCTCCTCTTCCCGGGCTGGAGGGGCTGACCCTGATGCCCACTGGCCATCTTCCTCCTCCTGGGCTAGAGGGGCTGACCCTGACACCTGCTGGCCACCCTCCTCCTCCTGGGCTGGAGGGTCTAACTCTGACACCTGCTGGCTGCCCTCCTCCTCCTGTACTGGTGGGGCTGGCCCTGATAACCCCCTCGGCCCATAGCAATCCTACTTCGCCTGGAGGGGGCCATTGACGCTGTCGAGCTGCCTGGAGATGACAGTGGTATCACCAAGCCAGGGAGGTGAGAGAGGTCACGGTTAGCCTTCAACCCCAGCCCCTCCCTGGAGCTCACAGCAGGCAGTGGGTGTGTTGCCTCTGTCCTTGCTGGGCTCTGCCTGCCTAGTCCTGGACCTTCCTCACTAGTCAGGTCTGTTTTCTACTTGGAGATCTGGGAGGGGTTGTCCACCTGTGGCTGGTTGAGCACGTGGGAGTGATGCACACACCCCTCATGGAGTTGAGCCCTCAGCTCTCCTCCAGACCCCTTATTAGCAGGTGCTTGTTAGTGTGAGGCTCTCTCAGGGATACTCATGTCCTCCAGCAGGCAGAGAATGTTCTGAGCCCTCTCTACAGCCAATGGCATCTGGATGTGTTGTCTGTCCTATAGCAGTGGAGGCTCACAGTGGGGGCTGTGTAGTAGCTCTTCTGGGGACTCAGGCCTAGGCCTGTCCAGGGCAGAGCCTGGTCTGGGCCCGGACTGCTTGGCTTCCCCCCAAGAACCTGTCTTCCCTGTGCTCTGGTCCTGCAAGGGCTCCTCAGTTGCCCTAACCATACTCTCAAGGGCTCCCCCCTGTAGCTTCTGCCCCTGCTGCATCACTTTCCAAAGCTTTTGGGGACTCTGCACAGAGCTACGGTCTCCAGGAAGTGTCTGATGCCTCTCTCCATTCACCCTCCGGCCTGGTGGTCTGTCTTCCTTGGAGGGGAGGGGTTATCATGCTGAGGCCAGTGTCCTCTTCCCACCTGGAGGCTCTTGAGGGCAGAGACTTCCCAGCTCCAATTTCAGCTTCCCCTGGAGGGCTCAGATTTTGTTCCTGAGTGAAAGACTTGGCTTCATCTCCCCTTACCTTCCTGCAGCTACATCTTTGAGCTCTTTGCTGAAGCCCAGATAACGTTTCAGACCAAGGGCTGCATCCTGGACTCACTGGACCAGATCATCCAGCACTTGGCAGGACGTGAGTTCCCAGCTGCCGCGTGAAGAATATCAGGCCAGTAGTCTTATGTGAAGACATAGGGGTTGGGGTGCAGGCCTCCGCTCAAGGGGCTGCTCTGTGCTGGACAGTTAGCAGGTACATCTGGTGGCGCCTCATGGTCAGCTGTTGGCAGCCCCCAGTACACCCCACACACACAGGAGTTGGGCCTGGAGAGGTCTCCTTCCGGCTGGGATGTGGAGGGTTAGTGCTACTTGGCAGCCACCATAGAGCATGTTCAGGTTCTTTGGCCAGCAGCTCCTTCCTGCAACCTATCCCAGTTAGTCCCCTTTAAGGAAGAACAGCAAGAGAGGCCTGAGTGGGTAGTGGGCCCTGAGGCTTCTTCTACAACCACCCTGGGTCCCTGGCAAGGTCCAGAGGGCTTCCCCAGGGCAGCCTCCCACAGCTGCTCTGTGGACCTCCCTCTGCAGAACGGCCCCACAGGAGGTGGATATGCAGGCCTAGCAGGTGGGGTGGGTTCAGCATACATCTGGCCATAGAGCCTCTTGTTGAGTCCCTCGGACCCCCTTGGTGCCCCATTCCCTGTGTGGCTTCCCTCTGACTGCTAGGAGGGGCAGATCCCACATTCCACACCTGGTTGAGGGGGAAGGGGAAGCTGGTCATGTCCCTCCCCCACCCAATGCTCTGAGCTGTTATGGCCTGGTTGGCCTCCCCTGCCTATGGTCAGGACCCCAGCCCCCTTCTGTCCCCCACAGGCACCAGAGTGTTCACCAACACAGCTGGGTTGCAGAAGCTGGCGGACATCATCCAGGTAGGGCCTGTACCACTGTGGCAACACTTCCCTGGCAGAGGCAAGGCAGGCGCCTTCTTTTGCAGTGTTAGTTACTAATTCTCACTCAGGGTAGCACAGGACTCCACCCCACAGATCAGTACAACCTCAGGCTTCTTTCCTCCTGTCTTAAAACCACACTTAGGCCTCTGGGAGAGGTAATAGGATGCGGTCCCACTCAGGGTTGTGCTAGTAGATGAGAATCCCCAGGACAGTGAAGGCCAGTGAACTTCTCACACCTGCCAGCTGCCTCAGGCCAGCGGAGCCCACTGATTGTGGAGAGGTCCAGCAGTGGGCCCATGCAGAGAGCAGTTTGGTACCAACTGCTTTTCTGGGCCACTTGGAAAGACTAGGGGCCCCTGAGAGGAGCTGGTGTCCTGACCATAGGCAGGAGAGGCCCAATCAGGCAAAGAACCTAAACATGCTCTATGGTGGCTGCCAAGTGGCACGCAAAGCCATCATCCTTCTCCCTGGCCACTTTCCTGCCACTCCCTCTGTGATGTCCTCTTGTCCTTTAGGGGCCAGCTGAGCCATTCTCTCAGAGCCCAAGTTCTGCCTGTTGGGAAGCTGCTCAGCCAGGCAGTTGAGGGCAACCTGGTTCTGGGTGCTCTGGGCACAGTCTTGTCTCACCCGAACCTGGTACATCTTTCAGAAGCAGATTTTCATGACCTGGGTGGTCACTGGGGAAGCTGAGGCACAGGAGGCCACCTTTGCAGGGTTCTCCCCTTCTGCCCTATGCACATCTTGGCATGGAGGGGTTGGCAGGAGCTGCTCAGCCGTGACAGCTTCACAGATGTCTGCCTGGACTTGCGGGGAGCTTGTGTTGGGGCAGGTAGTGCCAGAGCCCTGGGTCTGTGGCCAGCTCAAGGCCATGGCATGGCTGCTGTGTGTCGCTACTAATGGCCATGGAGCCATGGCTGGGACAGCCAGTGCTCCCTTCTCAGCAGACAGAGCTCCCCGGAGGGCCAGGCCTAGGCAGGGACACCTCTCCTCAAGCCAGCTCTGTCTCTTCCTATGTGAAGGGGCTGGGGCTAGAAGACAGCACTGCTCTGTCCTCCCAGCCTTCCCCAAGGGTTGCTGGGTGTCTGAGGGCCAGACTCCTCTGTCTGGGGCTCCTGGACCAGGTGGGCCTTGGGGTGCTGTATTGGGAGCCTTCTGGGAGGTCTGCCTCTCCCCTTTCTGGTAATCCTTCTGGGCTCCAGGGTCTGCTTGAGAAGGCTTCCGCCGCTTCCACACTGTCTGAGGCCAAGATGCCCCCCCACATTGGTTTGGAATTTCCTTTGGCTGCTGTTTAGGCAGCTTCTGGCAGATGACTTAGCCCCTGCCAGGCCTGGACAGCCCTTTTGGCTTGTGGGATGTTACCGAGCAGATAGGTTCTCATCCCTGGGCCTTCTCCTGTGTACATGCAAGTATACAGTGCTCCCTCAGGACCTGGGTTGCTGGGTGAGTATGGGCAGTGCCTCTAGGGCAGTACTGGTCTGTCCTTGGAGCAGGCAGACAAGGTGAGGAAATGAGGTTTAGCTGGTGGTGAGCAGGGAGCACAGTGAGGGTGAGAAAACTGGTGGTTTGTCTAAACTCCTACAGTGCCAGAGCGGGCTACCTGGGGTTGAGGCACAGGAGCCCATGAAGGAGTCCCCAGCTCTTCTTATTTCTGTCCCCATAGGCTGGGGCTTGGGTAAAGGGCAAAGCCCTGTGTTTGACTGTCTTGGCAGTAAAAATGGCTATGGGAGCCTCTCTGTGCTTACACCTTTCTTTGCGTGGCACATGCCCAGGTACACGCATAGCACACAGGCGTCCATGCACACGAATCTGTGTGCATCTCTAGTTCCTGTGTGCTGTTGGCTATGGCACGTTCTGCCTTATAGGCGTTTGTAGTTTTCTTCACCTCCTATGGGTGATTCTGGGTTGTGGCTGTTTCAGCTATACCTCTTGGCACTCTCAACAAATCCATTTGTCTCTGCTGGAACTGCTGGTCCAGCCCCAGAGCTCTTTGCTTGCTTGGCCCATTGACCAAGCAAAACAGAGTACGTGGTCTCTGCGTTCCCTGTGTACATGTTTTGGCCTCTTCTGTGTAGTTCCTCTTCTGTGCTTCTCTCCTGGTGCCTCAGTTGTCTTTTGTCTATTGCCTGGCAGATTCTTTGCAGATTCTCAGCACGAACCTTGCATGATGCACGCACTCCCTGCACCTCTCTCTTATGTTTCTACATTGGGTTTGGTAAACATAGGTTTCCTGTGGTCAGTGTTTGTCCTGTAGGCTAGAACCTCTTTGCCCTCGGTGATAACCTGGTCTTGTGTGTAGAGTTAGGTGGCTTCGTGCCCAGGCTTTGGCTCCTTCTGGAGGCATCTGTGAGTGACAGAAACCTACTTTTGTTTTTCCAATAAGCCAGTTGTGTTGTGTCATAGACCCTGCAGCCCAGCTTTTCCTGACTTTGCCTTTGGGCACCTATTTTGAGACTGGATCCCTTGTGTTACCCAGGCTGGTCTCTAGCTGCTGCACTCTGGCCGTCCTCCCACCTCAGTCTCCTCAGTAGCTAGGACTGCAGGCGTGAGCCCCTGCTCCTGATAGTGGTTTAATTTTATTTATTTGTTTTTGTTTGTTTGTTGCAGTTTTTGGCCAGGGCTCGGTTTGAACCCACCGCTTCTGGCATATGGGACCGGCGCCCTACTTTTTTGAGCCACAAGTGCCACCCTGTTTATTTGTTTTTT